TATATATATATATATATATATATATATATATATATATATATATATATATATATATATATATATATATATATATATATATATATATATATATTACACACACACATACAGTCACAGATTAGCCATTTTTTCCAATCAGTGCAGCAATTTGCATTTGATGAATGCCTACAGAAGAATTATGGTTGGGACCACAATATTTTCACAAAAATCATACTAAACATTGATAAAATCCATCACATATATGAATGATAACAGCCTCTTTCATTCGCTTCTCTTTAATGAAAAGATTTACATCAATACATATCAAAATTGTGCACAGTGCAGCAAGATCAGAACTCCATGATCTGGCAATAGCTTCCTTATAGTTTATGGACTTGGAACACTGTAGTCTATTTAACTTGCTTCCACTGGAATTGACTCCTCAGATTTCAATGAATGAAGTGCCAGTTTATCGAGTCCCGCAAGTCGAGAGCCATCCCACTTTGGACATGCCAAGAGCAGTGACCCATATCGTTTGGCCCAGGCAAGGATACCAGTACGTTCAAACTACAAGTTTGTGCTCATGCCAGAAATAACAGGCATACGGAAACCCAAGGCAGTAAAATGCACAAATCAACTATATGTTCATGCTGCCGGATATTCCAAGATAAATCAGGCACTTCAAGTATAATGAGAATATCTGGTATCAGAAAGGAATGACATAAGGCAGGGCAACGACATCCTCCGACTTGATTCTTAATGCCTCAGACCAAACCTGGGGTTCTTCATTGGTCTCCGGCTTCGGTTTTGGCTGTTGCAGATGGTGACAACTGCTGAAAAGCCACTCTTGGTCGTCATGCTCAGGCCATTCGTCCACTTTGGGAATGGAGTATAGTTGGTTGAGATACATGGAATCCGGGTGAGGACTTGTACAAATTTTACTAGTTGCACCAGTTTCTGCAGCAACCGTTTGCGTAAAGCCAATGGATGATGGCTGAACTTTTGTGATACCATTTTTTATCTGTTCCTTAATATCTACAGGTTTTCCTATGAGCATGGTGTTTATGGCTTCAGGTTTTACTGAAGGGTATGCTGTAGCAACATGGGACGAATCCGGTGCCCACCCATTCTCTTCACAAAGGTGAGAGGAAGTGTTTGCTCTCGGAAACTTGTTAGGTAGCAAATTATTCTCTGCAATGTCATGGCAAACGTAGTACCATAAACCAAACAGATGAAGTTTATAACACCAAAGTAACTAAGGCTGCCTGCAGGATAACAGAAAGGAATATTAGATAACTTACCGTTGCGAAAGCCATTTGTATGAATTTCCTTTCTCTTCTTGACATTGTCATTGATAAGGTAATTCTTTGCATCATCTGTCTGAGGGGCTAAAGGCTCTAGATTGTGACTATCTAACTGATCCTTCTTCCTGCCATCTTGGGGCTCATTTTGTTTTTTATGTTTCTGTTCGCCTCTCTCTTTTATTTTCGCCTTTTCTTTCTTTTTCCCTTTATGTGTATCTTTATCCTTGATCTTCTTCTGATCATGATCCCCATCCCTGTGTCTCTCTTCTTTCCTATCATCGGCTTCCCTCTCCTTATTCTTCGCTTTCCCCTCCTCCGTCCTGTTGTCTGCACCCTTCTCCACTGATCGGTCCATCCCATCAATTCTTCTTTGCTCCATAAGGTCATGGTTTTGAATGATTTTGTTAGATTCTCTTCGGTCATCCATCTTAGTTGCAAGGCCAATAGAGTCAACATTTTTATTAGTGGAAAAGATTTGTGCTTGTCGGCCCATTCCATTAGTCGTTCTCTGCACCACACTACTAGAACATGAGGCAACTTCGTTACTCTTGTAATTATCATTTTCCAAACAATTTGCAGGGGATGGGTCCTCAAATCTTCTTTGAACAGAACCAACTGGTTTCTCCACTGGTAATGCCCTACCACCATTCCCTCGTTGCCCTGTGCTAGCAACTTCTGGGACCAACTTGTCACTTGTAGTTCTTTCCTTCGGCACCGCACCTGCAGAAACCAGCGCCTCATTTCTTCTTTGAGTTGAAACAATATATTTGCCAGCTGGTCTTTCCAAACCATCATTTCTCCTTTGTGAAGCACCCATGGAAGGTGGAATGGTTTTATCACTCGCAACTCTTTCCTTAACCAATGCAGCAGCACCCAAGCTACCAATGCTTTTTGCAATTGGATTACTGAAGTTCTCAATCTTTCTATTTGTTGCCACCTTCTCTTCATCTTTGATCCTCCTGTCCAACTCCTCAGTAAATCTAGAATGTTTAATTTCCTCACTCTTCTGGCTGCACTCTCCAAATGTGTCTTCATGGAGAGAGACGATCTTTTTGTCAGACCTATCATATGGTATCCTGCTCTTATCCGTGCCCTCATCCTTCTTCTTGTCTTTCTGCTTTCCTTTTCGATCTTTTTTCTCCTTGTGTTTATCTTTAATTCGATCTTTGTCTTTTTTCTCTTTGCCTTCTCTCTTTTCTTTGTCCCTCTTCTCCTTTTTATGCTTCTTTCTGTGCTTCTCCTGAGAGTCAAAAATTAACCACAAAGGTCAAAAAAAAATTCTCTCTGAGCTTTGGATGCTCACCAAAAGTGATCTAACAACAGTATTAAGAAGACATCAAT